CGTTGCTCGCCTCATACAGCTCCATCGTCAAAGTTCTTGTGCGGTACGTCTTGCACGCAGCGTCGCAGACGGCAGGGTGGGCGGTGGGGGAAAAGTGGAGACGTTTGCTGTACGCACACTACCTTCATTTCTTGTGTGCGTCTGCGTGTCTGATGCGAGGTCCGGTCTTGTCGGTCTGGCTGCTTGATGCAGGTCTGCCGGGTACAGGCTGCGGACGGCCTCTGGTGCAACCGCAGTCAGGGTCGGTGGCAGCCGCCGTCCACGGGCTGCTATGTGGGCTGCCGCCCCTCCCGTACGTGATGCCGCCTGGTGAGAGAAACAAATCCCCTCCTCCCGCTCCCTCCACCGTCTGTTCTGGATAGAAGGTAGCCTACTGTAGTACTGTCTGCATGTCATACCATACTACTGTGTTCAGCGTCCAATAGACCGGATTTCGCCTGTGTGCTGAGCTTAGAATTTGCGCCCCATCTCAACCAAACTCCGCAGCTTAGATCAAACAAATTAGTAAACTCGCGTGTACCTCAGAGGGCTCACGGATTGCCATGGATATCTGACATGTCCGCAATTTTTGGCCCATTCATTGTTCTGGACTTCCCTCACTTCTCACGATGCGCATCAGTCCGTCTGCGCTTGTGAGCAGCAACACGGACCCTGAATCACTCAATCCGGCACTTCCGCATCCCTCATCCGCATCCAGATGGAGTGTGAATGAGGGAGGTAACAATATGAGCAGCAGCACCCCTGCTTCTCATATGGATACCACCCTCCCAGTCCAATACAGGTCACAAGAATGCATCTAGTAAGAGCTCCGACTCTCGGAAATATATTATACCATGACATTTGAATTTATATGCGTAGCTACGGCCGGCGGACGCAAGCGTGAGCGACACGGCCTCCGAGAGTGCCTGTCAATAGCCGTAATATACAAATCAAGGGAACATCCGTCAATGCAACCCATCCGCGTTGCTCAAAATATCCATCAGATTATTGCAGGAGTGAGGCGGGGTGTGCGAGCGCGGCGGCCAATTTTGCGCGCGATCGGCGTCATGGTGGAGGAGAGACAAGCGCGAGAGGGCGCGGGGAACGAGAATCGCGGATTCCAACAAGCAAGCGCCCGCGCAGGAGAGCTCCTCCTCTCCCGCGGCTTTCGGGCCGCTACCCGCTCGCCCAAACTGTGGCGGCGATTGTCCGCACCCAAAAAAGACACCGTCAGCATAGCCTACGAGAGTAAGGACGTGTATAAACGAGTCCAAGGTTGTGAGAGTTGCAACGCAGAGGGAAATGCCGCCCCAAAGTTCAAATCTGCGGGCCAAGATAGCTAGCAATAGCCGACGAGAGCAAGCGCCGCGGTCTCCGGGACTGTTTGGCGAAACCAGTCCGAAATGGACGAATACACCTTCAATGTAGACCGTCGGATAAGAGTGGAATACAAATGAATTTTGTGTTCGATTACGGGGAGGTGCGCGAGCCCGGGAAATATTTCATGTGCTGCCTAGGTCGTGGTGAAAGACAGATGAGCGCGAGGAGTGCGGCAAACGAGATTCGAGAATCAAGCGCCCGCGCGAGCCGGACGAGTTCCCTGTTTGGCAGCTGCTCCTCGTTCATCCTCTCTCCGCTACCACCACCGGCTCTGTCGTCCGCCCACCACCCCCGTCGCGGCGGCGCCTTCAGCAATAATAGAAAATAGTTTCAGATGTAATAGTGCGGTGTATGCGCCTTCAGCAAACGTAAGGTACCACAATCTACACGACGTCTACATCCCCAACTCCGGCCACACAAGCGGCAGACGTGCGAGCCTGAGCAGCACGAGCTGCATGTCCGTCAGCTCGGCCATCCCGCCTTCCAGATCCGCCATCGCCTCTGCCTCGTCCGTCACCGTCTCAGCCGACGTCGGCCCGTCCCGGGGGTGCCTCGGTGGTAAGTTGTTCGGATTTGACTTTGGGCGCCGGCGTTGCTTACCCAGATCGCTGCGATAGCGCTTCGGCGGAATGCCGCGGTGAAGAAGAGCGGGGGCGACCAAGAGGGGGTCCCTCCTCGCCGCGTCGAGCTCGGCTGGATCCGTGATCGGGACGAAGCGCATCGCGCCGCTCTTCCAGAGCTCGAGGAGGCGCAAGATGCGCTCTTTGCCCGTGATGCGACTGAGGTTGTCGAAGACGATGTCGTCGGGCCAGCCCAGGAGCTTCACGTGGTACCGCAGAACCACGCCCGTGCAGTACCGCTTGATAGCATACGCCATCTTTGCGCCTGGGACACCTGCGACGTCCGCTAGGGGGGCGCCAACTCAGTTCGGGCATGCACACAAACAAGTATGCGTTACTCACATATTCCATCGCTCAGCAGACCCCTGAGCTCCCCCCGCAACTTGATCTCCATCCGAGCATAGTCGGCGCGGAGGGTATCGCCGTGTGCGCGCTGTCCGGCCATCGTGGTCGAGGAAGCCTGAGGTATAGAGCTATAACAGTATGAGACGAGACGGGCGGCCGAACAAGGACGTGAGGTACGTACTGTGGGCTGCACGCGCGCGAGGAGAGTGGAGCTGACTGTTGAGGTGACAGGGCAAGGATCGACTGGCAC